CCACCCTAACCACACCATACCCCACCCTTACCCCTAACCACGACCCTACCCCAACCCGATCCCACCCCCTAGCCATTACCACCCTACTCCACCCCTACCACATGCCCTTACCTCGGCCCCTGATGAGTGTTTTCTCGCACTTAAAATAGATCGTAATATAGTGGTGTAAGTACGAGTATCGTCTCCGCAGGGACGGACAAAAGGGAATCAAGAATTAATTAAATTCAGCGATTAAAAAGAAAATAAAATAAAAGCGTCGTGCGAGAATTGGTTGGTTTGGAAAATAAAACTAATGCGAACAATTAAACTAGGGGGTTCTTTCTAATTAATGACGAAGGGAACAGGGATCGATTCCGGGGTAACCAGATTTCTAGCAGATCAGGCCGAATTACATGAAATTAATTTAATTGAGCCTAGCTAATCATTACTAAGTTCTTACCGCTCTCGCGGCGTAGAGTACAATAATTTAGGGGACCAGGCTGATCTCTCATGCGACAGGATCCTAAATTATGGCCAAGACGAGCGAGCTTACGGCCCCTTAATCGCTACTAATCTCTTAGCGAACGATTAAGTGTGTGTGAATGTGTCCTAGAACAAATTAGATCTCTCTTAATTTATTCTACATGCAATTGTAATTTAGTCGCGATTCTAGGTTACAAAAGATATCATTTAAATTATTCAAACACAAATTAAACGGCATTCATGCAATTAAACCGAAAAGAATCTAGCCATACATCATGATTAACCCCTTCATCAATCCCAAATCCCTAATTAAAACTACTCACAATTCATAATTGAAGAATCAATAGAATTGGAATAAAAAGAATTAATTGTCATTAATTAAAAAGGTGGAACTTACAAAGAATCCCAAAAGATTGATGAACAAGGCTGAAAAGCCCTCTAAAATTCGTGCTAGGCACTCTCTCTAAGCTCCCCCCTTGAAAACGGGGGTTTACAGGTTGTTTAAATAGAAAAATCGGGTGAAATTTGAGCTGAATTAGGATTTTCGGAGCCAGGCACGATGCCAGGCACGATCGTGCCTTCGATCGTGCCTCCAGAGCAAAAACGCACATTTTGGGAAGGCACAATCGTGCCTCCCTCCAGGCACGATCGCGCCTCCCTCCAGGCACGATCGTGCCTGGCTGGCAGTAACTCCGCAGTGCTTTTCTCTTCAGGCACGATCGTGTCTGACTTTGAGGGCACGATCGTTCCTACTTAACTTCCGAATTTGACAAAACTTCCTTCATGAAAGTTGTATATAATGAAGTCCTCTATCCACCCCAATTTGCCGAATGTGATTTGAATCATCCAATCAAGAGATATGATCACACCGGTGGAAGGTGTCTTTCTGAAATCGCAGAAGAGATGATCTGACTTCATCGTCTGTTTTCACCTTCTTCCTCTCATATTCTCGCAAAGGTGTCTTCATATGGTGTGTAGCCCTTGAAGTTGGCTTTCCTATGGAACTTTAATCGTGTACATTGTGGATGTTTCTACAAAGAGATATGCTTGAACGATTGACAGAAGGTCATCTTGATCGTCGTTTTCAAGCTTCATTCATCTTCTTTTGACCCCGTAGCCAATCCTAGAGCTCTTTTTCCTTCAAATCTTCATCGTGAATCTTCCGGTGACCTCCAAAGCTATCAAATCAATCTCAAATGCTTCTCAAATCATCCCGATTGTTCCTCAAGTGCCGGTGTCGGGCTCAAATTCCCTGATTTTGACTACAAACAACACAAAACTCGAACTAACGCCCGGTAAACATAACTTGAGCTAAAATTGAGACTTGTAACACCTTAAAACTAGGAAAATCATCAAAAGCCGGTCTCAACACGCATCAAATACGTGTCAAAATACGGACTTATCAGCCCCACCCTACCGCCATCCTACCCTCATCGATCCACCCCTATCGTGGTAAGGGTAGGGGTAGGGGTCAAGGGTGTGGAATTGGGTATAGGGTGTAGGGTGGGGGTAGGGGTTGGGTACGCGAGTACAGGCCAGGGTAGGGTTAGGGGTATGGGTACACGTACGAGGCGACCCCGCATATTATATTATATACTTGTGTTCATGAATGTTTGTGCGTCTATATGTGTAGTATTATTTTGGACATTTTAATGTTAAACGGTATTTTAAACCCTTTGAAGTAAACACGGTCTTACACCATTGCTTATTTTGTGCGCTACTTATTAACGCGGATCTTAATAAGCATCGTTTAGTAACCCGTGAAGTAAATGTGTCCTTAAGTAAAAAAAAATGAAACAAAACAGTAGAAAAAAAACAAGGACAGTAATATGCTATTAGCTTATGAAATTGCAATGCATATTCTAAATTTCATGTTCATAAGAGGCTGTCACTTTTAAGAATTGGGAAAATTACCATAACTAGAGCAATCAAACGCAATGCAAGGTTAATAGCAACACACATAAAGATCGCTATCACAAATTTTAATTTGCAAATATTGTCATATTCTCACTTACACATGTGTTGCAGCACATCACAACCTAAACAAGTAGTTTCACAAAGAGGCATAATAAATACAATTGATGAAAAAGAAACGTGAGGAGCCAGTTTCTCGGGTGGATTAACCTGCACGATAACTACTAACCTCCAAATATTAAGAAAAATGAAATGTTGGTACGTTCATACCAATTACCTCACTGCTTCACAAGCCGGTATTTCATGTTTTAAAGATGTGTTTTAAAGATGTGCAGATTGCATTATTTCAAAGTGATCTAATTATATATGGATATAGCTAGAAGTTATTAAATCTCTAGAAATCTGACCTCATTATTACATGGAGCATGTGTTGACATTGAAGAATGCAAACCATTGTTAGTCTCTGCTGCAGTTGATAAAAATGTTGTAAAAGATTCCTGATGATTTTGTTGGAATTTAGCAAGGTTATAAGAAGTTGAAACTTTTGCTCCATTCATGTCATTTCCTGATGATTTTTTCCCTTTTTTCAAGGGAGAATGAGTTGTTTTTCTTCCACAGCACCATACTCTCCCAGGTTTCATTTCTGGAAATACTCTCAAATGCTTTTTGAGAAGACTTTTCAAAATTTACAATCATATATTGAAGCTTTGTCTAGCATATATGGAAATGAAAATGTAATCAATCCTTTTAATCATTATTTTCAAATAGATAAAGCATTGAGACAAACTAACAATTGTGTCAATTGTCATCAGTCTCAGGGTCCAACTTTTTTTATTTCTTAATTTGCCTAGTTTCAATAAATACTTCAACTCCAGTTGGAGATCGACTCTCTGTTCTCTTTTCTTGCACACTATACAAGCAAGTAATTAGATCAATATAATAATGCAATGTGACAAATAAATACTCAACTTCGAAGTTTAGCAAGTGGAATACCAATATTTCTCGTATACAAGCAAAGCTTATCGGTCCAACTTGATGCCTTCATTTCTGTTGAGATCAATTTTGGTCATTTCAATGACTAATTCCCTATTAATGTTATAGAGAATGCATATCATTAACTTTAAAAGGAGAATCTCGAAAACCTAAACAAAAATGCAGAAGTGAGCTCAAGATTAGAGTTGAGCCCGAGCGAATATCTTAAATTAGGAAGCAAATAATTCTTAGGAAAAATTCACATTAATAATCCTAAGTATTGATGTTCTTCTAACATTAATCCCAAATTTGAGTAATTCGAAAATAATCCCAAAATTATATGGCATCTTCTCTCGTTAGTCCAGGTGACCTACAACTTACTCAACAGGTTAAAACAATAAAATGGAAAAGCAAAAAAGCTGAATAGATACTTCGTATATTCTTTTGACCGGCTCCTTCACACTTTATTCATCTTCACAAACACTTTCTAATAGTGTTTCTCCTCTTTTTTCTTTTTATTATTTTCTGAATCTACTAGATATGGCCGTCGCCGAAGAGAAAGCGTGGCAACAGATCCACTGTTTCAGTTGTCTTCTCCGACCATAACCCGGCAAGAAACGCACAGCGCTGGCGATACCACCTATTTTCTTTTCTTTTCTTCTGTGCTATCTTTATCACGTTCCCCCCTTAGTTCATCCTCTGTTTCTTCTTTTTGGTATTCTTTTTCTTTTCCCCTCTTGTTTCAATTGACGCCTGTTGGGTCTGGATAGGAACTAATTCACAAAGCTTAAATGAACGGATGAGGATAAAATTAGTTGCAGAATTTTTTGGATCTATATTCATTGTTTTCTGTGTTGCTCTAAGGCTCTCTCTCAGCAAGTTGTTAAACAGTCACTCCATTTTTGTGGCCAGAAGGGGTTTTGATCTTCTGGCGGAGATGAAGTAGCAGACCATCTAACAAACACCTTTTGAGGATGAACAAGGATGGGGTCGGCCATTGATGAATAGGGAGGGGGCAGGAATAAACCGACGTGGAAGATGGAAAGAAACGAAAGAAAGAGAAATAAGGAAAGAAAATAGAAAGGAAAAATTATTATAATTGAAATCCAATAGAAATAGGACACGTGTTCAGGTGACCTGCTAAATAGGTTTATGCAGGTCACTAGTTTGTTTTGAGAAGATACCTCTTATAATTTAGATTATATTGGAATAACTAATATTTGGGATTAATAATTGAAGACCGCGAATAGTTGGGATTATTTATGTGAATTTTTCCTAATTCTTATTAATTTGAAAATTAATTCTCTGCCTTTACAAAGAGCCGAGACTCCTATATATATACACATTAGCTATCTAATTAAGTAGAGCCCTTAGCCCATATTTACAAGAAATATACAATTAGTAAGAGGCCCAATCTAATACCCCCCTCAAGTTGGAGCGTGGGGATCAAACATGCCCAACTTGCGCAGTAAATGACTAAATTGTCGTTGTCCAAGCGCCTTCGTAAAGATGTCGGCTAACTGATCAGTAGTAGAAACATGTTGTGCCGAGATCATCCCTTCTTGTAGAGCGTCACGAACATAATGACAATCCACTTCAATGTGTTTGGTACGTTCATGAAATACAGGATTATGTGCAATATGAAGAGCAGAGCGACTGTCGCAGTGTAAAGGAATAGGCTTCGGATGAGCAACACCGAGGGTGAGAAGAAGACTCTTTACCCATTTTAATTCTGCTGTAATGGCCGCCATGGAACGATATTCAGCTTCAGTGGAAGACCGAGACACAGTGTGATGTTTCTTAGTTTTCCAGGAAACTGGAGAACCTCCAAGGAAAACTAACCATCCAGATAAAGAACGTCTAGTAAGCGGACAGCTAGCCCAATCAGAATCACACCAGCCTGATAGACTCAAATTAGAGGACGACCTCAAAAGAATTCCTTGTCCGGGAGAGCCTTTGAGATATCTGACAACGCGTAAAGCCGCACTCCAGTGTTCTCGTCGCGGGGCCTGCATGAACTGAGATAAAATGTGTACAGAATAAGCCAAATCCGGCCGAGTAAAAGATAAATAGATTAGACGACCAACAAGACGACGATAAGATTCCGGATCAGCCAATAAGTCACCCGTAACAAGGGCCAAGGAATGATTTTGTTCCATGGGAAAGGAAGAGGGCTTAGCTCCAAGAAGACCTGCCTCGGATATAATATCCAATATATATTTGCGTTGACAAAGGAAGATTCCATCAGCGCCTCGTGCAACTTCAATGCCAAGAAAATATTTAAGAACCCCGAGATCTTTCATATGAAAACAAGAGTGCAAATAAGTTTTAAATCGAGACAAGGCTGCGGAATTATTGCCCGCAATAATCAGATCATCCACGTATATAAGCACATGTAACTGCACGTCCTCCTTGCGCAAAGTGAATAAGGAATAATCAGAATAGGATTGTAGAAAACCATACTGTTTAAGTGCTGTGGCCAGTTTAGCAAACCAACAACGCGGAGCCTGACGGAGACCATATAATGACTTGCGCAGACGACATACCAGCCCAGGCCGAGTTGAAGAAAAACCTGGTGGAGGACGCATGTGGACCTCCTCAGCAAGATCACCATGGAGAAAGGCATTATGGACGTCCATTTGATGTAACTCCCAGTTGCGAACAGCGGCAACAGCCAAAAGTAGTCGTACTGTCACCATTTTGGCCACGAGAGCAAATGTTTCAGTATAATCGATGCCTGCCTCCTGATGATTCCCAAAGACAACCAACCGTGCCTTGAGACGCTCAATGGTCCCATCAGATTTATATTTAATTTTGTAGACCCATTTACATCCTAGGGCCTTTTTGTCATGAGGAAGTGGCACCATGTCCCACGTATGATTATTTTCAAGAGCTTGTATTTCATTTTGCATGGCGGAACGCCATCCATTATCAGTCATAGCTTCCTTGAAGGACCGGGGTTCATGTCCTGCAAGAATAGCACCAAGAAACATGCGGTGACGTATAGAATACTTATCACAAGAAACGTAATGGCTAAGAGGATACCGCGTACCTGAGGATCTGTCGGAGAGGGAGGACGGAGATGGGCTTAAATGAGCAACATAATCTCGAAGTAACACTGATGGTCGCTTAGACCACATGCCGCGGCCAAGGGGGATGCTGTCAGGCGTCACTACGGCCGAGCTAGATGCCATATCATGAGGTGTCTCAACGGCAGAATTTCCTGGAGCAACATCATCCGTATCAAAGACAATAGGTGCAGTAGGTTCCGTAGCTGAAGGAGTGCCGTTAACAACCTCTGAGAATGGAAAAATATCTTCATGAAATTGCACATCACGTGAAACAAAAATATCCCCCGTATCACGGTCATACATTTTCCACCCTTTCTTGCCGGTAGGGTATCCAATAAAAACACATTTGCGGCTACGGGGAAAAAATTTATCACCACTTGTATTTGCATTGCGAGCAAAAGCTAAACACCCAAACACCCGGAGCTGATGAAAATCGGGTGCTTTGCCAGTAAGCACCTCATAGGGTGTTTTGCCTTGTAGAATACCCGAGGGTGTACGATTAATAAGATGCACCGCTGTGAGCACACACTCGCCCCATAATAAAATTGGAATATTTGCCTGAAACATCAATGCACGAGCCACGTTTAAAATATGACGGTGCTTACGCTCTACCCGCCCATTTTGTTGAGGGGTATGAACGCAAGACGTCTGAAACATAATTCCACGGTCCTCAAAATATGGCAGCAGACATTTGAATTCTGTGCCATTATCACTACGCACAATTTTAACAGAAACCTCAAATTGTTTTTCTATTGTGGCAATGTAAGAAAGGAAAAACCGATAAACTTCCTTCTTGTCACGCAGCAAATATACCCACACAGCCCGAGAATAATCATCAACCAATGTCATAAAATAAACAGCATCACAAGTAGAAGGGGTTTTATAGGGACCCCACAAATCACAATGAATAAGCTCCAAAATTCTACTTGCTTTATTACTACTGATAGGAAAAGAATCACGCACTTGCTTGGCTTGTGGACACACCTCACAAGGTTTATTTAAACGTTTGGTAGAAGAACTAGCACTAACAATAGGCAATAATTTAATCACACGATCAGACGGGTGCCCCAAACGTCGATGCCACAGTTCGAACGTAGGTAAATCAGACGTGTGGACAGCATGCAACATAGGTACTCTCCGGAAATAATAAAGCCCATCTCGTCTCTCACCGGCTCCAATCAGGCTCCTCGAGGGACGGTCCTGTATGGCACAAAACGAATCAGTGAAAGTAACTAAACAGGCAGACTGATCAATCAATTGTGATACCGAGATTAAATGACATTTTAATCCGGGCACATAAAGTACATGTTCCAAAATAAATTTTTCAGAAAAATAAACGCGGCCCTCCAAGACAGCCGCAACTGTTATCCCGTCTGGCAGTCCCACCAGACGTGTACAAATATGAGTTCTACCAGTCAAACAGGTAATATCACCTGTGACGTGATGAGAGGCCCCTGTGTCAATAATCCAATCAAACTTACCTGCCATACGATCGGATGAACGAGTTTCAGCTTTAATTAAACTCAGCAAAGCTTGAACCTGTTCCTTGCTCAATGAGGGTAGTCCGGTCGCCTCAGCCGTAGAGGATGAACCTTCACCGGTCGTGATAACAGCGTGCGTCTTGACCCCCCCTCCACGGCCAGCGGTTCCATTATTTGATCGATTCCGATCCTCCCACCATTCTGGGTACCCCAACAACTTGAAGCAGGACCCGACATCGTGTCCTTTCTTCTTGCAGTGGGTACACATCAGTTTAGTTCGGTCCACCTTCTCTTGTTTCCCTTTGGCTTGCCTATCTACTTGAAGTGCGAATGCCTGGGCATCAATTTCAACGGCCTTTCCGCGAGCCACTGCCCGCGAGTTTTCTTCTTGGATGAAGGCTTGATATGCCCTGTTCAGGTCTGGCAACGGAGTATGTGAGAGCAGGTTGGACCGAACTGTCCCGTATACTTCATCATCAATTCCGATCAAGAATTGATGCAATTTTTCTTCATCTCTATCGGCTGCAAACTTTGCAGCAAGCCCGCAGGTACATTGGCCACAAGTGCACACGTGCAATGGCTTCAACCGGTTCAGTTCGTCAAAATAACTCATCAATGTCGTGTAGAATCCGTCCACTATCATTCCCTTTGTCTGTCGGCAGCTTGTGATGGAGGACCGAAGCTGCTGCTGCCTCGGACCATTGGCAACGCTGAACCGGTTTTCCAAGTACAACCACAACGCGCGTGCTTCGTCATGGAACGGGATGGAAGCTGCTAACGTTGGGTCCATACATCGCAGCAACCACGAGACGACCATAGAGTTCACCGTCTCCCAGTTGGATAGTTGTGCCTCTTCGGTCGGCTTCTTCTGTGTTCCGTCGACAAACACATATTTCCGGCGAGCCTTGAGGGCCAATGCAATCGCCCGAGACCACGCCACATAATTGTCCCCTTTAAAGACAACGTGAGTAATTTGGTTACCGGGTTGATCGCCGGAACCAAGTAATAGACTGAGGTTGGATCGCTCATGGTGAAGCTCTGCTTCTGGCACGCTGGTGCTTTCCGCGGAGATCGCCGATGATGCAACGCAGACCTATCGAGGCTCTGATACCATCTTAAATTAGGAAGCAAATAATTCTTATTAATTTCAAAATTAATTCTCTGCCTTTACAAAGAGCCGAGACTCCTATATATATACACATTAGCTATCTAATTAAGTAGAGCCCTTAGCCCATATTTACAAGAAATATACAATTAGTAAGGCCCAATCTAATAGAATAAGAAAAGGAATGTTATACCTTTACAGTTTCTAGCTTCCAATATTCTATCAACTCTTTAAAATGTTCTCTAGGTATCTTCTTAGAACAACTTTTTCGGACAATCACACAAGCTCTTATACTTGGTAATTGATCCTTCTTAATGGAATATCTATGTCAAGCATCATTAATTACAGCACCACGTTATTTTTTCCTTTATCATGAATGTGGGTGGTATCTTTTCTACAAATCAAACGTTTTTTTACAGAGAAATCTAAATGAATAAAGTGAAACTTCCAGAAAGTTAGATTGAATTCATGTGGATATTAGCCATTCAAAGAATTCAGCTTTCTTACCTAGAATTTCTGAGAGCTTCTAGATGAAACTTTTCAACTCCATTTGCTTTGAATAAGTATATTGACAATGTCTCGTGGACAGAACTTCATGAAATCTTTTGAGGTGCTAAAATTTTCATGATGTTAATTTAGTTCGAGTTAAGATTGAAACTGATTCTAAAGTTTTTTACTACATCCGATATGAGACTGAGACAATTATTATTTCCTTGGACAACAACCAGTTTTCTTACTTGAATAGTAGGCCTTAAATATCATTGAGTTTAATCCAACTTAATAAATGAGTTGGTACAAAACAAGCTCATTTAGTGTTAAACATTAAAAGGTTAAGCAAATATAAGACATATAGAAGGTGAGTTTTCTTCTACACTTGCATTTAAAATTAAAAATGCCTTACATAAGTGTTTCTAATGAGCACAATAAACTCTGAACACAAAAAGATTATATAAATGAGAAAAGTGCATCTAAGGTACGAGATTTTCTACCCACACATATATAGTACGGAGTACCTTGGATAAAAGAACAAGAAGCAGTCCTCCTTAGATTTAGATTGGTAACGTGAAAATAGTTTAGCAAATTTCCAAATCATGAATTCATGATTCTGTTTAATAACAAGGTCATTTAAACTTAACAAACACCTAAATGAAATTCTTATAGAAGCTAAATATTCAGTTGTGTAGAGAATCCAAGAGGGAATTGATTACAAAAATGATTTTCAGGGATTTTTTAAAACTTAACAAACACCCAAAATACCTAGTCATATTTATAATTTTGGTCAAGTACATATTTTTATTAACAATTACTCCCTCCGTCCTATTTATGTTGTCCCGTTTTACCTTTTCGAGAAGTCCTACTTAAATTGTCTCATACCATATTTGGCAAAATTTGTGTGGCTCTAAATCATTCTTACTTTATTCTTACTTTATCAATTAATATCAACCACACAAACTCACTTTTCTTAATAACTGTGTCACCCTCTTCCGGGACAATATAAATGGGACGGAGGTAGTATTTATAAAATTAAAAGGAATTGGAAATGTTTCTTGTTTAAAATAATTTCAGAAGTATAAAACTTATAACTTTCATAATATTGAACTAATCAAAATCATGATACAAACTGCCGGTGCAAGAATCCATCAATATCTCCTATTCTCCTTGATTTATTTATGCTAAAGTGTCTCAAACAAGTTCCAAATGACGGTCAAAAGAATCCATTACCCATGTGAAGAAGGGAACAAAAAAGGTGACCAATATGAGAATTGCCGATAAAATTCAGTAAAAGCATTGACAGTAAGAGCCAAATGTCACAACGCACAATTTAAGTGCGGGATTGGTGGCGAATGAAAACAGTTTGAAAATAATTCATTACTTTTTTTTGTTTTCAACCAAACACCATTCAGGTTGAATATGACAATAACAGCAACAATGATGATTATAATATACTACGTAATAAATAATACCACCAGTAATAATAAAATATTATCTTGAGAAAGAAATTGTTGCTTCCTATAATCCTATACTCATTACTTTCTTGATTTCGTTTTAGTTTATTATTATTGTTATGGACTATAACAATGTCATTTTAAGTATTACACTCTATGCCCAAAATCCCCAATCAGTCATTTCAACGCATGCTTCTATTTCAGCCACTAAACAGGTTGGTAATTGTGCTGTTAAAGTCAACTAATAATTGAACAAACATGAATTGAGACAATGCCTATGCTTGGTGTATTCAACAGAACGATCCAGAAATGCACAAAGATGATGCAATACATATGGTAGCATGTCATTGTTTTCACTGTTCATAAGCATTATAATCAAAGTATTACACTTACAATAGGAAGAAGAATTTACAACATTCACACCAGAGATGTGAAATAAAAATTACAAATCCAGTACCCCATATCATAATCTATTGATCGAATCAACCCACTCAAGCATTGACAGTTGTCTATTTAGTGGACCATTAGCTTTTTTGAGTGGATCCCACCTTATATATAGGCGCCCCTTAAAATGCACAAACAGCAATTCTAAATGCTAAAATGGATGACACATTGAGTGTTGGGTGTTCCTTGAACACTTCAGTATTTCTCAATTTGGAACTCAAAATAGACCCCGAAGAATAAGTTATGATATGAAAGTACTCATCTTGGATTTTACTCTGGTTGTTTTTTCTTCTATCATTCCTGTGCATGGACTGGAAACTAGTAAATAATTTTATCCAATAAGGGATTTAATCTAATGCACTTTTTTCCTTCTGTAAAGGTTTAGGTATGTATAAACAATAAAAACCTCTGGCGTGTTTCATGTCATGAAATTTACCTAAGGCTTTGTTTGGTGTTGCTTCTGGTATTGGTTGACCAGAATTTTTGCATAAAGGATTTCATTCCAGATGTCAGGCACCCCTGGCAAGCACCAATGGCTGCAATCTTGGTACAACATTGGAGATTTCCGCTCCTCGTCGGACAAATGTTGTTTCCTGTACATTGATGGATGGCCATCCTTCCGGAAATCTGTCATTCTTGTGACATTAAGGTAAGAGACTTGAGTCTTCATACCCTTCAGTACTCTCTCCAACACTTCCATCTTGGGTGGGTATGCCGTTAGGTACGTCTCGTTCTTTATTGGTTCAGCTTCATGGTCACATGCCCCACCAGAATTCCACTGCCCACCGCTGTTGAGCCATTGGCATACATAAATTTTAAATTTCAAGGCTCTTAAGATAAGGTGAATGTGCTGAGAAATGTGGGATTTCAAAAACATAATGCAGTCCTTGTTAAGTGAGGGTTCAGTAAAGCTAAATTCGACAGAATTTGATTAATTGTGGTTGATGTGAATTGTCATAAATGATTTAATAATAGTTAAAAATTTATTTCTGCGATAAGTTAAAGAACAAAATAGTGGGTATAAGCGTCATTAACAACTAATCAATTTACCAAAAAAATTATGGTTTAAGGAATACATAGGAGTTTGATTCAGAGCTCATCTGGTAATCCTAAATTTGGTTCATTTGATAAATTACAGGTTTAAGGATTGATGTAGCTGAACTATAATTAAAAACGATTTTTTGAAATATATTCTCAAATAAAACATATTAGCAATCGGGTAACGGCAGTCAAATAAGCTTGTGTTTTGTACATAAAAAAGGTAACACTGCTTGATAAGGAAAACAAAAATGTCACCAAACTGGGCATAAGAGCATTGAACAAATATATTATTTACCTGAAATGAGATGCAGAATAACCTCTGAAGAGAACAAATGTTTTTGCAGGATTTATATGGGCATCCACCCATCTTGCCCACGTAGTTAAAGCCTTTCGGAAAGCCTCGAGAACATTTAGTTCATGGTACACATGACTACCTTCTTGGTAATAATCCTCCCTGAAACATTAAACGTCATTTGATTATTCCACTTGTGAGAGAAAAAGCTCATTGGTATCATTTCAGGTTTCCAAACATGTACTTACCCTTTAGAAGTCTTCTCGTGTGTCCACCAGTGGCCAGTGTTGAAAACTATGATGTCTGCATTTTCATATTTATTAGCAGAATGCCCAACTAAATCAAGACGGAGTGTTTCCTTCTTCTTTCCATTTCCATCAGGTATTTCCCATTCTTGAACCAAGAATGGAGATACAAAGAATTCCAATTTGAACTCATACTCCTGCATATGCATCGATACGATTCAGATATAAAGCAATTTCCTACAAAAACAGCATGATGACAAAAAAGGAGCTCCCAATTAGACTACTCACTTCAAACACAAAAGAGTACGAAGCTTCTCCACGAAAATATTGTTTGCCAGATTCTTCGTAAACTTTAGTCTGATTCTTGACAGAGTTTCTGAGAATGCAAACAAGAGATTCCCACATATTCCTGTTCAGAGAATCGCCGACAAACACTATTCTCTTCCCTCTCAACATCTCCAACATATGAGTGGCATTCAATCTGTGATCAAGTTCATAGCAATCACATAAGAGTCGGCCTATAGAGCCAACGCCCAGAACAACTCAACCAAACACTAGATAATGGAACAGGATACTCTATTCCAATTGTTGGGTTTTAGCTTATGAGAAGAAAAATGGTTTCCATAATAGCAAATAAAAAATTAAATTTTTATCTACTATGAATTTTAATAATCTATCAAACAAAGGGATTTTTAATAGTAAGAACAGATTAGTCAAACGTTTCAATAATCTCCATTCCTGATTAGGTACAATTTGAAGTGAAGTCCAAACATTAACTTACATAATAAAATCAGATAATCAAGACTGCATATCAGATAATATAAAAACGGCATATTACCTTGGGATGGTACAAGCTTTAGGTTTCCATCTATATTTAGGGTACTCTTGATCGGGTCTTCCATTGATAAAGCAGTTGAATTGCTCATCAATGAGAGAACAAGAGCCAGGCTTGTACAGAGGGTAAGATTCGTCCTTAACCCAATTCCCATCAAAGAAATCGCAATTCAACAACGATTTCAGCATATCCTCACTAGAACCTGTCCCGTTGTTGTGTTTCTTCTCGACAATTACCTTCTCTCCCTTCTCGGTCACATTTTTTTCAACCGGAACGGGCTTTGGTAGAGAAGGGATGGTCAGATTTGCCGGAAGCTTTTGACTTTCGTCAATTGTAGTCCGATTAGAGTTCACCGGTCCAGCTTTACTATCATCGGGAACTTTACTCCGCGTCTGGTTGTTTACGGTTGATGAATCGTTGTTCAACTGAGATGGAACCGTCGTGTTTAAAACAGTGCTATAATTCGACGGCTTCGATACTTGAACACTATCACCAGTAGAATTGGTCAGATTTTTCGAGGTTTCTGGATCTGTAATGAAATTGAGCACTTCAGAACTGTTTTTCTGCGATGCCGGGGGATTATAGGGAGGAGGAGCAGTAAGGTTATGAACTTGCTGAGAGGAATTCGGGAAAAAATAAGAGAAAATCGAAGAGAACTGAGATCCGGAAGTGTCATTGGAGTATGTCGGCGCGGATACAGTCCCGCCGCCGCCTCCATCGCCGTTTGCGCTGCTAGTTAAAGAAAAGATGTTGGTGAACCAAGGAGACGAGGAGTTGGGGGAAGGGCTAAAAGCCAGGAAAATGGTGAAAGCAATGAAAACAAAGACGAACCCGAACACACAAACCTTGGTTCTCTGGGTTTTGATTAGTGAGAAATGTGGTTTCAGTTCTAGGAGTAGATTTCCGCCATTAATGGGAACATACTTTGTAGTTTCAGCCATCTGGAGAAGGAGGTTGTTCTGCGGGAGAATTGCAGCTGATGCAGAAGAGCGGAGAAGACGATCAATCAGAGAGAGAGATAGAGAGGGGAAGGGTTTCACTGGGAAAAAAGTTAACGTTACAGTGGAATACAGATTACGGAGCAAGTAAAACTAATGTTGTTTATTTCAAAATGGGGGCAAACGTGTCAAAACATACGGAGTCGCATATGTATGGTTGGAGTCTTTTGTCTTTTACTCCTTTTCTATTCAACAAAATGTGCATTCATATGGACCGGTGGGCGTAGTTTAACTTGTAGCGAGGGAGTGCAACAAGGGTTAGATTTCGGGTTCGAATTTCGTCAACTGCGATGAGAGGTTACTATGTTAAAAAATGCATAGGCCCTCTGCAAGTACCGGGGACGGAGCCACACTCTCTATCTGTCAGATTGTGATTATAGTCCAATTTACATCCTCTCGTCGTGCCGTCTGGTCGGTGTTGGGGGGCCCTCAGGGATGGGGTGTCATCCTTTTTTTACTGTGTGATATGGAAACTTGCTTTTATACATGTCATTTATTGGGTATAAGGAGTTTTACTTGGACCGTGATATGTTGGTTTGGTATGGTCTGGTCTGTTTAAGTTTGATCTGATCTGGTTAATTAAACGTTTGGTCTCTGTGTATTTTATAATTATGGAAATCAAGTCTGGTCTGGACATATAAACGTCTGATCTCTGTGTATTTTATCCCTAATTTAATTAATGAATTATTTAACCTAAATAATTGCTCTGTAGTTGCATTGCACAACCAGTGCAGTCCGTTGGTGGCGAGGCAGTCCGTGGTGGGGAGCAAAAGACTCTAATAGCGGCAGCGGCGCACATCTCTACTGAAGGCGATGGCAGCGGAAATGCTAGCAAGCCGCTAGAAAATTTCTGAAGAATTCCCGACGGCGGCGGGTGGCAGGCGGCAATCCGGCATCCCAGGGACGGAATTGGTAAAGGCATGTGAGGGTATTTTAGTCCAATGACAAATAAAAAGTCTTATTTATGATAGTTTAAACTAATTGGTCCTGTTTTTTTAGAAAAGCGAGGAGTCTTAGTACTATTAAGGTAAATCTCACATTTACTCTTTATTCATGTCACGTGTATTTTATCCATGTCATTTGTATTTTTTATACATGACTCTTATTTTATGTGAATATGAAGACAATTCATTTAACAAGTATATAAATGGAAAATTATTGGAAATTGTCTTCAATAGACGTGTAAAATGACGTGTATATGTATGGACACTAAACACGGATGATGTAATATTGTCATATATATATATATAGGAAAATAATCAAGTAAGGTAGGCCTAAGAATTGAAATTCTTAGGCCTCTTTTATTTGAGGTGCTTTTGAGATGAATTTTTTGATGAAATTTTGTGAGCATGTTCTCCATGAAATGTTGATTGTGCCCACCAATTTTCGAAAAAAAATTCAACCGGGAAGTCGGTTTAATAATTTTTTCAAAATTGCGCAGGTTTTTAAAATACAGTTTTTTTTTCAACAATTTATTTAAATGACTTCCCGATTGAATTTTATTGTGAAACTTGGTGGACATCATCTTCAATCCATGGAGAATATGCTCACAAAATTTCATCAAAAAATTCGACCCGGAAGCACCTCAAATGAAAGAGGCCTAAGAATTACAATTCTTAGGCCTACCTTATCTTAGCATTGTCCTATATATATATATATATGTGTGTGTGTGTGTGTGTGTGTGTGTGTGGTGTGGTTCCAATGAGAACGTGAGAACACTCACGTTTAAATCAATGTGGTGCACAAATGAGCTCTTCTGTTGCATATTTTCAATTAGCTCGAAATAAGAATCTATTAAAGAAAAACGCTGACATTTTGGTATATGCTATGAAAACGCGAAAAAGTGCAGTATTCAAGTTTCATTGTGCAACACGTTGGGATAAATGTGGTGTTCTCATGTTCTCACGTTAAACATTGTTCTCATTTGATCTTTATTATACATGTGTGTGTATCACTAACATTTTTTCATGCTTCTTTTTGTTGTCTATTCGCATATCAGGCTATCTGCAATCATTCTTAGTTAATAAATCAAATCCACGATCAAGACATTGTGTATACACTATGGGATGATGTGGATGATATTATTTGAGTTTATGAATGAGAATATATGGGCCTTGTTTGGTAAATGGATGTTAATTGTTGCTGTTAGCTGGTTGTGTCAGCTGTTTATAACAACTTGTTCTGTTAGCTGTTTTGACCGGCTATTATGTTAGCTGATTATAAACAACGGTTTGGTAAAATTGGCTGTTTCGAAATGGCTGATAGAGTGTAAAGACATATAAAGACATAATAATACCCATTGTATTTTATTATTGCTAAGAGTGAAAATTTTATAACTATTATTGTTACTTCAACGATATAAATCATTTGTATAATAGGAAATTTTAAAATTTGTTGAATAAAATCTATTATAATATCTACTTTGATGTATGAATGTTTATCATACTACAAAAGTTTATAGTATCGAATTTTATAACCACTCAATTATCTAAACCAGAAACATCAAATTAATTCAAGATAGAGAGCATAACTAATAATATAAAATATTAGTTAAGCATATATTATTTGTCGAGATAGTACTACCTATTTGATTAAACAAGTTTTGTTTAAAATAATTAGAGTAATTATTAGTAAATATTACTTTAATGATTAATTTAAAAAATGCTAACTCAAAACAATGAAAGCAAAAGGAGGAAAAAAAGAAAAACTGGTAAGCAAAATAACTGGGTTGACTAAGTTAAAAAAAAACGAGCAAAACCACAATGGCACAATGGGAATAAATTGGAGCTATATGTAGTCACTTTGGGAGCTTCGAGCTATACCCTTATGGGAATAAATTGAACCAGCTGAATGAAGAAGTTGCTTCCCTTAGCTTCTTCAACCATCCATTTTTTCAATTTTTCAAACTCAACAAGCTAATTTTAAAAGCCATTTACCAAACATTATTATTAGCTTCTTTGACTAATCTGTGACACTCCGAAAATTTAAATAAAATAAAATAAAATAATAATATCAATGAGATCAAATAAAACTTTGACATATAAGAAGAGTGACATTTTGAAAGATTATTAGTGAAATAATATATACATATGCTTATAGCACACCTATATAAGACCCACCTAATATATATGATACGAAGTATACATACACTACTTACATATATACATAACGATATACTACGTAATAATAATAGTGTAAAATTTTGACTTTCCCATGGGACCAATACTCATGTAAACCCATGCGTAATTAATTAGGTATAGGAATGTTGGGCCGATCTTCACATTGTACGAGCGATATGAAACACACGAAACCCTAAAGCCTGGAACCTTCCCGTGTGCGTATATATATGTACCTCGTTGCGATCGAATATCCGCTTAGACCATATACGTACGATGATACGAAACCGAACATTTAAAGCATACGTCGTACAAGACCAAGATGCTGCTGCTAAATGATCGCATCTGCGTCGCAAGAGAACGGCAGAGAAAGGAAGAGGACAGCGGGAAACTTGCCGGAGAAGAAGACCCTGCCGGAGTCGTTGCCGGACTGGTTTCACGCCGGAGGAGAAGAAGATGATGTTGCCGCGATCGGACTTGACTGCTTCCACTGAACGTCGATGCCTATCACAAACCTATTTCCGTCCCCTGCCGTCAGAATAGAAACTCTTTCGCCAGTAGGAAGAGAAAGAGAACGCCGGAGTACTGAAACTGCGATGCCGAAGTTGGGAACGGAACTGAGTTCACCGGACCTCGCTGCTGCCGTTGACTACTGCCACGCCGGGAAAAGAAAAGCTTCGTTGACGGACTGCTACTTGTCGAGAAAGGGAAGGAAGGAGCATCGTTGCCGTTGGTCGTCTTCGGGCTGCTACAGTACTCGTACGTAACTCCTACTCCGTATTATATTTATCATTTTGCACTGAAGGTTTTAGCTTGGCCATTGAAATGTTTGGCCGGACTGTCTTAGTTATTATCATTTATCATCGTTGTCTTAGTTAAACGAATGGACTAAATTCTAAAATTTATCAAACTTAATATACCATTATTATGAATGATTATATAGATGGACTAATTATTGGAGTATATAAATAAAAGTGATTAATCGGGAAAGAGATAAATTAATACCATGAATTTGATATTAATTAACAAGGAATAATTGTTAATTAATTCCATAATTTTAATATTTAGAAGGTGAATTTGGAAAAGATCGAGATAGATGATCGGCTAGGAATTATCGCGATTGAGGTAAGTTCTACGTCAACCAACATTACACTTTTCCTCGTAAATCTATATATGATTATTTATTTGAAATTAATTGAGTACTTTGTGAGATTTCTAGCATTTACATTTATACTTCGTATTTGAGTATTTAGAATTATTTATGGA